TTTCTTTTTCTTTTTCTTTTTTTTTTTTTAGAAGTTCATTTTAGCAAACTGGGAAGCTCGCAGACAAAGAGGGTTAGTGCTGGAGGAAAAGGAGGGAGGGGGTGTTTTTGTAGGATGAAAGAGAGAGAAACGGCTGCAGAATGTATTTTTTTTTTTTTTTGGTGGTGTTGTTGGGGGGTGAGAGGAGAGGGCTTTAGCGCAAAGGCTCTGGAAAAACGGTTGCCGTTTGTGGTTAGGGCGCGGATGCCTCTTGCTCGAATGTAGCGCGGGCTGGGTCAGTGGGGAGCCGGCTCTGTGCTGAGTTAGCTCTGCTCAGGCCGGCTGAGGTCTGCCGCTGCTCTCCGATGGGCCAGAAGTGTCTTTAGGTGCGAGAACCCCCTCCCGACACACAACCTCTCCCAAAAATAAACACTTAACCCTCTGAAAGCAGCTGAGAGGCATGCCCGTACTCCCCCAAATTCCTTCTTCCAAGCTGGGAGCCGGTGGGCTGGGGAAGATGCTCCCCCATAGGTGGGGAGAGGCTAGAGAGGTGCCAAAAAGGATGAGAAGGAGGGAAAACCTTAATCAGGTCTCAGGCAGGCTTGGGGCTCTTTGGGATCCCAAATATTAGGGACAGACCATCAGGCTGCAGATGCGGTGGGGAAACAGAGGGGTTTCCTGCAAGTTGGGTGGTGGAAGCTTAATTGCAAATCGATCGATAGCGGATATTGGCAGAGTGGTTGTGTATTGGCTGGGGCCGGGGAGGTGTTTTGGTTGTTGATCTGTGATTATTTTTGGGGTTCGTGGTGTGGTTTGACCTGAGACCAAAGGAAGAACATCCCCCCCCACACTCCAAGGCTCATTCACCCCCCTGGGAGCTGGGGCAGTGCTCAAGGAGTGACCCTGGGGTCATCATACACATCAGAAAGGGTGGTATGGACCTAAATTTGGTATCTGTCCATCTCAGGGGGGTGAGGTTGGAGGCTCCTTGCAAAGCCTACCGAAGTTTGTCTGGTCCATACGGCAACATGGGGTCTGAAGGGCTGTAGAAGCCCTTCATCCAGAGGTGAGGGGGAATTTTTAGCCCCCCCCCCTCAAAGGAGGGACCTGCAGGAGAGCTGAGAACTTCTCCAAGGAAGCCCCTTGAGCCACCATGGGGTTTGGGTTGTCATTGTCACCATCCCACTTCCCTGCTGCTGGGACACAGGCCTGATGCTGCCTGTGGGGTGCTGCTGGGGAGGGGGACAGATTCAGGCCACACCAGACTCGCCCCAGCCTGTGCCAGGGATGTCACTCAGCCATGGCCTTGGATTCTTGCTTGGACATCCTGGGCTTGGAGAGGTCTGGCAGGGTCTGGCATGGCTGGATCTCTCAGGGGGTTGGTTTTTTTTTTGGAGAGGGCTTTCCCCAGCTTCTTTTACCTCCACTTTCCCTAAGTGAACTATGTGCTCTCTTGTTTCCAGAAGGCAGGGAGTGTGTAAATTGTGGGGCTACCTCAACCCCTCTGTGGAGAAGAGACGGCACCGGGCACTATTTGTGTAACGCCTGTGGACTCTATCACAAAATGAACGGGCAGAACCGGCCCCTGATCAAACCCAAGAGAAGGCTGGTGAGTCTCCTTCTGGTTTATTATTTATTTTCCTTCTTCTGCAACTTTTGCTTCTTGTCAGCAGCTCGGGGTGAACAGGGAAGCTCATCCAGCTCTGAAATCCGGTCCCACTGCATCAGAGGGCTGGGATGGGGTGATCCTTGGAGAGATGCTCTCAGCTGCTGTGGGCCTCAGTTGCCTGGTCCTCTTGCAAACTGCAAAACAGGACAAGAAAATCAGGATCTGGGGCTTCTTGCAAATGAGAACTAAGTTTTCTCCCAGGTTGCAATGGGGCAGGTGCCTCTGCACAGTGCTTCTGGATGGCGATCCAGGGACGGTGGCTCTTTCCAGGGGCTAAAGGCAGAGTAATCATTTCCTAGTGACCAAAGAGATTACCAGGAGAAAGGATTTCTCCTGGGCTCTCCACACTGCTATCCTCCCCTTCCCAAGTGTGTCTCCATCCCCCTTGGCTGGCGGTGTCGTGGAGGGGCGACCCCAGCAGGGTACTGGGTGCCACTGGGGCATCAGCTGGATCTTGGTCCTGCAAAGCGCTTGGTGGATGGTCCTGGTACCACTTGAACCTGGTGTGGTCATTTGTACCTGAGCCATGTGGGTCTCAAATGGTGTCATTCCCCTCCGAGTCGGTGTCAGTGAGGGCACAAGGTAGGGGATGGCAAAGGCCGGTGAATGTGCAACGCCGAGCGTGTGCCCAGGGCCACGGAAGTTGGAGCAAGAAGAAATGTGAGGGTAAATATTTGAAATAATAGTTGCAAGCCTTGCTACTGTGCTACGTACAGGCAATACGTTACAGCATCCCCAGTGATCTATTTATGAATTTTCCTGGAAGCCACAAAAAGGTCTGGAAGCTGTGGGCACGGCTAATAAATACATTGAAGTATATTTGGCAAATAATCAGGCAGACCACAAGGGGAAAAAATATAACAACTGGGGGAAAAAAAAATACGTTCCCTGCTTGGGAAGTTATTGAATATTTCGAATTGAGGCACGTTTGGTTTTGTTAGGATTAAAGACGCGGATGGGCTCCTGGGAGCTGATCAAAACGTGGAGGAAAAGCAGCTCTCTGTGAAGTTTCGGAGCTGATGGATGGATCTGGCTGGTTTTGTGAGGCTTGTGCCTGGCATGACCAGATCCTGCAGGCAGGAGAGGGGTGGTTCATTGGCTGTGTGTTCCCTGTAAAGGTGCTCAAGTCCTCGGTCTGGCAAATCTTAGGCACGGATTCAGCTTCCTCACCCATGAGATGCCTGCAAAATTGGGCCGGCTTTATTCCCACAGGCACCGGGAAGTGTTTGCAGGATATGGCCCCAGGAGGGGTTACGCTGCGAGGGGCAGCGTCTCTGTCTGGCCGTGCGGGTTTTGGGCAAGATGCGGGTTTATCCCTCTACCCCCAAACTTCCCATGGGTGAAATCTCTCCGTACCTTCCCGTACGGGCTTTTCCCGTATAGGAAAATGTTGGTCTCCCTCATCTTTCATAGCCATGTTAGAAAAAAGGAAAAGCTTTCTAGGGAGGGAAGTGCGGGCTGGGATTTTAATTTTTTTGGGCAGCTCTCTCATTCACTTCTCCTCCTCGCCCTGGTTCTTCTGTCTTAAACACACACCACCCGTTTTCTTTTTTCTTTTTTTTTTTTTTTTCTTTTCCTCGTTCTCTCTTTATGTGTAAAGTTAACTTCCTAGGAAAAAGCTGCCGGATATCTGAGCCCTGGAGATAACTCCTAAACAACAGCTCTGTTTCCCCAGCCCAAACACACAGGAGCTTGAGCGTATCCAAACAAGCGGAGGGGGAGGCAGAATAGGAAAGCGGCTGGAAAGGGGGGGAGAGCTTTCAAAAAGTGTCTGATGGAACCACGAAAGAATGTCCCGAGTCACCCTCAGCCCGGCACATGTAAAATGAACTATATAAATAAATACATTGTAAAAGGTCATTCTTGGGGAAAAAAAAAAAAAGAGAAAGAAAGAAAAATGTAATGAGAGACTTTGTCTTGCATAATCACTCCAATCTTGGGCTTTTTAGTTAAAGTTTAAGTTACAAAAAGTTCCTGTTCTTTGAACGCGGCCTTTGCTAAATGGGAACGTTTGATTTTTCTATATATTTTTTTTTTTCCCAACACTGCCTGAGGAAAAAAAAAAAAGAGAGAGAAACATTCCTGATGCTGTTTGCATCTACAATTATTTCCCTTGCTGACCTCCAAAAAAAAAAAGAAATCGGAAGGCACAAAAGCTGCGCCCGCGTTCGTGTTTCATGCGCATAGATGTAGATGTGTGCATGTCTGTGGCTTGACTTGATCTTTCCTGGGTTGTGAAGGCGAGCAGGCTGGGGTATGGAGGTTCAGGGTGGGGATCCAGTGCGCTCTTCTCTCCTTCTGCCACAGGTTTCCTGCGTGACCTTGGGCTGGTTTTGTAGGTTCTGATCCCAGGTGTGTTGAAACTAATGAAAGGACTCTGATGGGTTGGAGAGAGAAGGCAAATAAATCCTTAGATGCGGAGAACCGAGCCCAAGCCTTATTAAATTCAATGGGCGTTTTTGTAAGGGCTTCCTTTAGGGGAGATGGATGGAGCCTTGCCGGCCTGAGGTGGCTCAGACAGCTCTGCTTCATCCCGGGGGGGGGAAGGTGGAAGATCTGGGGATGTTGGCAGT